AGTTTTTAAATTTAGGGAGATTAATTAAAATAAGAGAACTACTATGAAAATCGAATTTGGAGTTAGTCACAAGTTTTGCTTTGTACTTTGGTTCCTAATTTTTGAAATTTTGATCAATATGGTTTGCTAGGGAAAAAGAGAGCAGAGGATGACTGTAAAGAAATAGTTTTTGTGACCAATATATGCTGAGAGAGAACAACCTTATGCTTACCTACACACCTTCTTCTTCACTATTTTCTAGCAATCTACAAGTGAAATGGTGTGAAAATTAGGTCTTCATGATCCTCTTCTTCTCTGCAATAATTCTAATAGTCTTATTTTTCTTCTTTTTGGTTTTTTTGCTTTGATTTGTGTTCTCCCTTAAAAAATTATGACTCTTTTTAGGGCTTTTGCTATGGTTTTGTTGCTATTGGTTATCACGCCCCAAATTTGCCATGATTTGGAGCGTACATGCCACGAAATTTAGGCAGCAACTTCCTAACTACCGTAAGGTATCTTGCCTTTACTATCCATAACATTCCACAAAATTTCCATAAAATTTGAACTTTTATAAGTTAACATATATCTATCATCAATCATAACAATAAAGATTCAAATCTGACTGGACAAACACCTCTTATTACATCAATAAGAATGATAACCATAGCTAACAAACTATTCTATAATAGGGATTCAACTTCATCAACTTCCTGCAACATACGAACTAGTCATTATCCTCCACCATGTATACTAACTCATATTTGTCATTACCAGCTACAAAATTTTAGGAGTAGAATGAGCATACACATGCCCAACAAGTAAACCACCCTATCCTTGTCGAATTATGAGTTTTCATATATAAATATATATGTGTGTCTGTGTGTAATTGCACAATAATATTAGAAATTAGTACATTAAAATATGTCATTCCATAATAGTAGTCATACAATACAATGTTCAATTATACAATTCATAATTCCATAACAATTCGATTTCCTTGATTAGGGGATCATGCATTCATCGATCTCTATGTACACAACTTAATGTTTACCCCAATTAAGGGATGGTCGACACAGTATAATGTCTAGTGTTTAACCCCTACTAGAAGGGTCAAACAATACAATACAATAAGAATGTTGAATATAGTTATGGTTATAATCAAGATTGGTTCTTGTTAATTCACAATGCACTATTCAATACATAATACATATCCATTTAAACTATACGGTTCAAAAGTATCATTCAAATCAACAGATATGATTTGGATTTCATATACTAAAATAGCATTTAACATTCATAAAAGTATTGGTTCCAAAACTCAAGAGTAATGAGGTTCACTCACCTCAATTTTCGACATCAATATTCCAATTACCACTTCTCACAATGCCACTCATACATGATCCTAGAGTACCATAACACTATCATTTAGAAATGCAAATTAACTTACCCAACCATGTGAAGTCATATCGAACTTGTGCCCCAACCATTACACCTATACCATACTTAGGGAGAATTTTCCAGATTAGACCATAGTTCAGTGTTTTAGTTATAACTCAAAATGTATACTCTAGATTTACAAACAAAAGATACTTTCAGAAACTAGACTCAAAATTCCTTAAATTCTATGAGTAGAACTTTTCCAAAATCTTTAGCTTTCTGGTTCAAAAATCAACATCAAAATCTAACTAGAGAACAGACATATAATTTGTCTGTTACTTTCTTTGAAAATTGTAACTATCATGACCAATTCAATTAAAGATTTAAAGGTACATCTCATTCAACATCTTAACATACCTTTTCACAAGTTTAAATTCATTAAAATCAATTATCTTAATATACTCCATGAAATTCTAATTTGTGACTCAAATTCATTAAAAATCAATTCTCTTAATATACTCCATGAAATTCTACTATGTGATTCACACAACTTACCCCGAAATTTTTCAGATTTAATGAGTCATATACTTTTCATGGAACCCATCTTAAAATACTACGAAAAAAATCAGTTTTTGCCATGCATCCAATACGAGATAAAAAGTACCTTAAACTGTGGAAAATAGTATTTTCCATAGATTTGCAACGGTTTTGGAGGCATCTTGTATATAGCCATCATAAATGCTTTGCAACAGTTTTGGATCCGTGATAAATATTTTTTACCACGGAAAAATCACGGGTTTACATTCGTCATAAAAGAATTGTGATATATGTCATTGACCATTTACCATAGTTTTGAACACGGTTCGAAACTGTTACTAATACTTTTTGCAACAAATTGCAGTCATAGTTTGGAAAGCATTGAAAAAGGTCATTGTCATGGGCTAATTTCATAGTTTTGGTTCTGTGGAGAAAGGTTCTTATTAATCATCTTGATTTCCAATGTTGTTAAAAGAAATATCAAAAGATAAATGTTTAAGATCTATCACCATAATTTATGCAAGTAAAATAGCTAAAGTTTTTATTGAAAATCTCACAAATAAGTGCGTACAAGTTACCAAAAACATAGCATGTATTGCACGAAATTATGCCAATCCAAAGTGAATGCCATTTGAAGGCTAATACAATGGTCTAACCCTTTAGAATAACATCTCTAATACACTAACATTTTGGGACCACCCAACAAAGATTTCATGACTACAGACAGCCACGGATTTAAGGGGGGGCTGGTGGGGGCTTAAGCCCCCCCCAAGCCGCCGGAAAACCCCCTATATATAAGGGATTCCGGCGGCCAGCCCAGCCCAGCCCAGCCCCCCACGGTGATCCAGATCTACCGACTACCATCCTCCATGGCTCCATGAATGCTGCAGAGGAAGTGAAGAAGAGCTGGAAAGCCGCTGCCGTACTGACTGCTGAGGAAGAAGATGACCCATTTCATTTTGAATTTTTTTTTTGCCCTCTAAATACAAAACGACGTCGTTTCACTTTTAGTGGAACGACGTCGTTTTGTATAATGAGGGGAAAAAAAAAACATCAGATGAAGTCCTAAGGCTTCATCTGATGGAAAAGCACGCCGCCAGTGCCAAAGGGCAAACAAGACTCCAACTCCAAGAAGAAGACGCCAGGCTCCAAGAGGCAAGAACTCCAAGAAGCTTCAGTTGAGATTCTACCATCCTGCTTCAAGCCTTCAATTCAAGGCTCCAAGACTCCAACTCTCCACCATTCCATTCACATAAATCTTTTAGGTTAGTTTTTTGGTTTAAATTACAATATTCATCTTTATATTTTTGTTAATTATATGTTTAAATTATTTTTGAATTTTGAGTATCTTGATATTAATTTGATTAAGATTAATTTTTATTTAGTTTATGTTAATGTAATTTAAGAATTTGAAAGATTACATTAAAAAATTTAATGATATTAAATTTAAATTAGAAATTAGTTTAGAAATTGTATAGATTTTAGGTTGTATTTAGTTTTTAAAATTTTGTTAGTTTTATATTTGAAATTTTAAGAATTAATTATGTGAATTAGAAATTTTGAATGTAAATATAAATTCAAAATTTTATGAGATTGAATTAGAAATTATATGGGTATTTAGTTGTACCTTATTTTAACTTTTTGATAATTTTATATAATGAATTTTATAAATTGAGAAATATAAGTAATATGAATTTATTATTAAATTAAAGAATTATTTATATGAATTTTAAATTAATTGATTATTGAATTGCATAATTTTATTGAATTTAACCACAATTATTTAATTGTGACAGAAAATGGAGAGATTCTTTAAACCTAAACGAGTCCGTAGTGGTGAATCTTCAAATGACCCTAATATTAGTGAACCAGTTCAAAATCAATCTTGTGTGGAATTGAATTTAAATGATATTGTTAGTGATCCGGGATTACGAAAATCAGTTGAGAAATTTGATATTTCTCTTCGAGACCATGTCCGAAGAGAGTATTTGACTAGGGGACCTTGCCAACCGATTGGCCATATGAATCCAAAAACATCATTTGGTAAACAACATAGAAGTTTCCAAGATAGTTGGTATCAAAAGTTTGTATGGTTAGAGTATAGCATATCGAAAGATGCGGCGTTTTGCTTTTGGTGCTTTCTTTTCAAAACACAAAATAAGGGAGGTCGATATGCAGAGGATGCCTTTACAAAAACGGGATTCAATAATTGGAAAAAGGCAATGGAAAGATTTAATGAACATATTGGAGCTGTGAATAGTTGCCATAATGATGCTAGAATACAGTTTGAAAGTTTTCAAGATCAAAGGCATAGTGTGTCAAATGTGCTACGATCTTGTGGGCGCGAAATAGATATTGCATATCGCACCCGTTTAACTGCTGCTCTGGATGTGACCCGCTTTCTTTTGAAGCAAGGATTGGCTTTTCGTGGAAATGATGAGTCAACTAGTTCTTCAAATAGAGGCAATTTTCTTGAATTGTTTGAGTGGTATAGCCAGCGAAATACTGAGATTTTTGAGGTTGTAAATCAAAATGCTCCTGCAAATAATCAACTAACTTCTCCAATGATTCAAAAAGATCTGGCACATGCTTGTGCCTCAGAGATCACAAGTGTTATAATCAATGATATTGGAGACAATTATTTTTCCCTAATAGTTGATGAGTCTCGAGACAGTTCAGTGAAAGAGCAAATGGGAGTTGTTTTGAGATATGTGAACAAAGAAGGGCGTGTGATTGAACGTTTCCTTGCAATTGTACATGTGTCTGACACCACATCTCTTTGTTTGAAAGATGCAATTGATTCTTTATTCGCGCAACACGGATTATCATTATCTAAATTGAGAGTTTAAGGATATGATGGAGCTTCAAATATGCGAGGTGAGTTCAATGGTTTGAAGGCCCTTATATTACAAGAAAATCCCTATGCGATGTATATTCACTGTTTTGCTCACCAACTCCAGTTAGTTATTGTTGCTGTTGCTAAGGGAAATATCATTGTCAGTGAATTCTTTGTCTATGTCTCTATGATTGTCAATTTAACTGGAGCATCATGTAAAAGGAGAGATCAATTAAGACAAATAGAACATGATAAGATTGTTACACTTTTAGACAGTGGAGATATTATTAGTGGAAAAGGCAAAAATCAAGAAACTAGTTTAGCAAGACCAGGGGATACTCGTTGGGGATCACACTATCTAACATTACTTCGTCTATCCTCTATGTGGGCTTCGGTGATTGGAATATTGGGAAATATACAAGATGATGCCACCACTTCTGACAATAGAGGTATGGCCAGGGGTTTGATTGATAGAATGAATGATTATGAGTTTGTTTTTGCATTGCACCTGATGAAGTATTTATTGGGAATCACAAATGACTTGTCACTTGTTTTGCAACAAAGGGATCAAAATATTGTCCAAGCCATGAGTTTGATTGATACTATGAAATCTCAATTGCAAGACTTTAGGGAAGAGGGATGTCAAATAATTTTAGATGAAGTCAACAATTTTTGTGAGTTGAATATGATTCCCGTGATTGATATGGAAGACAGTATAGCAATCCGTGGCAATGCCAGGCGCAGTCGCAGAGGTCAAACCATCACTAATTTTCATCATTATCGCGTGGAAATTTTTTGTGAGGTATTATTTTTGAAATTATTATTTCATTACATTTGTTACTTGTTAGCAGATTTTCTTAGTTATTAATTTTATTATTGTTGTGATGCCAGGTTGTTGATTTAATTATACAAGAGATGAATAATCGTTTCTCGGAAGTTAGCACGGAATTGCTTAGTTGCATAACATGTCTTGATCCAAAAAGTTCTTTCTCTCAATTCAATGTGCAGAAACTACTCCGTCTTGCTGATTTATATCCTGAAGACTTCTCAAGTAACGATTATTTATATCTTGAGTCTCAACTTTGAAATTATATTTATAATGTGCAACGCGATCCTCAATTTTCAGAAGTTGGAGATTTGGGAAGTCTTGCTCAACAAATGGTTAAAACTGGTAAAAATACAGTTTTTCCATTGGTTTATCGTCTGATCCAGTTGGCATTAGTTCTACCAGTTGCGACTGCTTCTGTTGAAAGAGTATTTTCTGCAATGAATATTGTCAAGACTGATTTGCGCAACAAAATGGGAGACGAGTGGATGAATGACTGTCTGGTTGTATACATCGAGAAGGATATTTTTGCAACAATTGAAAATGAGCAAATATTGCAGCGTTTTCAACGGATGAAGACTCGCAGAATGCAATTGCCTCCTCTTCGTTATTCGAGTGCAACAACTACCAATACTTCAAGTGTTAATCAATAACAAATTTTTGGGTATGTATAATTATATGTTTTTATTATTTTTATAATTATTGATTCTAAATTTTACTTATTAAATATATTTATTTCGTCACAAAAAAAATTTTTAATACACTTCAGCCCCCCCAAAAATAAATTTCTGGCTCCGTCCCTGACTACAGATAACTTCCAAAAACATTTGAGAACGAATCAATTGGATGAAATTTTTCACAGTCCCCATTTTGTTTGAGTGAGAATGAAAGAGTGGGAGAGCGCAGGCACTTAAGCATTTTTTGTTTGTGTACGTTTTCAAAATATTTGGGTTTCAAATTTCAATGGGCCAATTTTTCTTCCATTTGGTTTGAATAAATTTTGACTTCACCAATTCCAAAATTTAAGTCATGAGTTATATGTACATGTGTGCCAATGTATATTATTTAGAGTAATCACCACTGAAAATTTTTATAATTAATCTATTTATTTTTTTATTTGTTCAGCCAATTCATCATAGACCTTCATACATAGCTCAATTAACAATTAGTTTACTTTCGTCTATAATTCAATGAACTATATATATATTTATTTATTTATTTCATTCGAGTGCAAAAAATTCACCATATTTATTAATATATTTATTGATTATTAGCTAGAACTAATTCAAAACTAGATTGAAATTTATTATTGTACACCATATGAAAACTATTATTAAAGTAATTCCTTTAACCACATATTGAATAAACCATGATAAATATAAATTATTTACCACAATGATTAATCAATCGTGGCAAATAGTAGCATAATTACCATGATTTATGGCTGTGACCAACAAAAGTGTGGTAAAAATTTTTTTGACATCACAACTGCTAAAACCATGTCAAAAAGTCACTTTTACACATGAATTGAAAATTGTGCCAAAAGACAGTGTGGTAAATGCTAATTTTTTTTTTGTAGAGTTTCATGTCCAAAATTTTTATATTACTCATATGCATATGATACTTTAATTCTATGGTTAGCTTTTATATAATCTTTCATAAAATTCATGATTTAAGCCTTTAAAGTTGCAACAGTATGGCAGGTCCAGATGGTTTCTCGGTAATATTTGACCAGTCATGTTGGGATATAATTAGAAAGGATTTGTTGTTGACAGTTGAGGATTATTTCTTAGGGGGAATTCAACCTAAGGAGTTTATCAGTACAATGTTAATTCTTATTCCGAAAAAGGCAGGAGCAACCAAATGGGTAGAATTTCGACCAATTAGCCTGTGCAACATCAGCTCTAAGATTCTCTCGAAAATCCTGGCGAATCAAATAAACAAGGTCCTCCCAGGGATTATCGCTCCCTTCCAGTCGGGCTTTGTACCACATAGACACATTGAGGATAATATACTGCTAGTCCAGGAGATGTTGGGGGACGTTAATCGTAAACTAAAGAGCCCAATTTAATTCTTAAGTTAGACATGGAAAAAGCCTATGATAAGTTGGATTGGTCCTTCTTAATGGTGATGCTGTGAGCTTTTGGCTTTGGAAGGTGGTTTATAGATCTGGTATTCCGTGTGCAATCCAACAACTGGTTTTCAGTCTTAATTAACAGGGACCAGGCTGGTTTCTTCAAGTCGTATAGGGGGGTGCGGCAAGGTGACCCCCTTTCGCCGGCACTATTTATTATAGTTGCGGAATTTTTGAGACAGGGTATCCAACATTTGTTTACTGAGGGGAGATAGATGTATTATCAGATGGGGGGTGGATGGATTCCAATATTGTTTTTTGCCAACGATACTATGATCTTTACAAGGTTGTCTAGGCATGGCTTGGAGGAACTAAAAGGATTTTTAGATCGCCATCAGCAAGTGTCGAGGCAAAGAATAAATGTTTCGAAAAGTGCTTTTCTTTGTTCTCATACCACCCCAGCATTAAATATTCATTTAGTGCAGTCGATCCTTAGTCTTAGTAGAGAGCAATTTCCTATTCGATATTTCGGGACACCAGTATTCACGGGCCATTTGCGAAGGGTGTTGTTTGAAGGAATTCTTGATAAAATATGCTCGAGAATACAAGGATAGAGTACTAGATTTCTGTCGCGGGAGGGGGGGAACTAATTTTGATTAAACATGTGTTAACTGGTATGCTAGTCTATTTACTCCAGGAATTAGCTCCTCCTAAATCACTCTTGACTTTGCTAGAGCGGGTGCTAAATGGTTTTTTGTGGGACACTATGCTTGGCGATAGAAGAACCCATTGTAGCCCTTGGCTAGGTTTGTGCTTCCTAGTAGAGGAGGCGGGTTTGGGCTTTAGAGACTTCTCCACTATGATAGACGCCTTTGGGATCAAGTTGTGGGTTAGATTGAGGGAAGGTAAGTCGCTATGAGCCAATATCATGTGCCAAAAATATTTTCCTCATTCACATCGTCTATTGGTGGATGGGACCAAGGGGTCTTGCACATGGCGAAGGATTTGTACAGTGTGAGAAATGGCAAAATCCAATGCAGCAGCGAATTCTTTAGATGGCCTACGGCGTGGTGGCTCATGTTTTTTTGGGTCTTTGTTGTAACTACCCAAGGTTACTCAAAACTTGGTCCATTTGGACAACTCTGTTTGCGCAGCTGTGAGAGCTGTTATTGTAAGGGAGTAGTACTCCTTATTTATAGCTTTCCCATGTACCAAGCAACAATTCAGATTTCGTTGATTAATAGAATTTAAATAAATAAAAACAAGCTTTCAAATCTGTCCAAAAATCTGACAGATTAGGAAACTAGTTTTCCAAAATTCAAGAAACATATGTGATGTGAGGCTTTGAGTTATAAATTCACCTAATTATATTCCAATTTAAGCCCAATATCCTCAATTTTTCGTAAGTATACGAATCGTTTGATTGAATGTAGTGATAACTAGAGGTCGATCCCAAAGGGAATTCTCTACCAATTACCAAGACCCTTAGCTTACTTCTATTATCTAACTCAACAAGAATTATAATCAAACAAGACTACAATTAGACTAGTTCAATGCAAATAAAGATGATAACTAGAAGAAACTCAACTAAACACAAGTGTTCTAAGGAATATAATCCACTACTCACACCCAACTATGAAAGAAATAATCAACCATTGCCAAGTTATTGTCTTGCTAAGGATGCATTTCACTAAAACTATTGGAATTTGCTTTCCCTAATGAACCAAACTCAGCCTCATACTCAAGTTTCCCTACTTCCCTGGTGAAATCTCAAGTATAGACTTAATCAAGAGCAAGAAATGTAACAAACATCCACCTAAGTATATCATTACTTTCGTGTGTCTACCTTTAAGTATCATTTACTCCTTTTCCATCATTGTCAACTATTCTCATAGATTGACAACAACTAAAATGACTTGTAAATAGTGATCAATAACTCACAAGAGTTAAAGCAAGATTAGATGAACCAGCAAGAACAAAATATAGCAACAATCAATAACATTAAACCATAGTTACAGCATAAATACCTTCATCTACCCCTAGAATAGATAGATCTAGCTAGACAAAGTCAACATGACCACCCAGCTCCATTCCTTGAAGTAACCAAACATCATTCAAGCTAAGAGAGTTAAAGGGGAGAGATGCTTATTCAATAGAAGAAACAAGCTTTCCAATCTTCATCTAGTTCATTGCCATCAAAATGTTGGATAACATCAACAGTTTTTCCGAGTTTCTTCAATAAAAAAAGAAGGGTTAGTCCTCTTCTCCTTAAGAGAAAAACTTGGAATATGAAAAAACTACTTTAACTATGTCTAACTATGCTAATGAGTGATTGTGTGTGTCCTTTTGTTCTCTACGGCCCCATTTGGCAAGTGAATTTTTTAGGTGTTTGTCTAAAATTTATTGTAACTTACTGTAGAAGTTGTAGAAAAAATTTTTGAAGTGTATAAATTTTTGGATATTTTGAAGTGTATAGTTTAAAAACTTTGAGAAATTTTTTGAGGTTAAGATAGTTAAAGTTATTAAAAAACTTGTAGCAGATAAATTTGGCCAAAAACTTGCTTGCCAAACAAGGCCTACTTTTTCCTCCACAAAAAGTGCTTCTTGGAATTCACCAATTTGCTTGTCATAGTCTCCATAGTACAAAGAACAGCTATCTAGCCGAAATTCTCTGTGAGAGATGAGTCAAAAAAAAGTGTGAAATGTCCACAAGTTGTTTTGCAAGTTGCATAGCCGCAATTGTGATCCGAGGCCACAATCCAAGGTCGGATCGGTGAAGGAACCCCTCGGATCTCATTTCCTTCATTTTTTATTTTCACTACACTACAGAATCCAAGGCCTAAAGTAGATGGATCCGAGCTCGAATCCTCCTCTCAGATAAGTCCTCTGATATCGAAAAATAAAAATACGTAAAATAAACATGCTAAAATACACACTTAAACATAGCAACTAAATTAAAAGACTTTTTAAGGGAAGCTGCTAGGTTTACTTCGAGAAACCCGTTTACTAAGTATTCCCCTCCTTTTTATTTTAATAAATACATATACATACACAAATAGATATACTATGCAATAAACCAATTTTATATAGATATACATTAATTTACATATACATTTAGAAACCACATATCATTAATTTAAAGATAGAAAAATATTTCTCTAGAATGATTAAACCATAATTCTTTAAGAAATCACTTTTGTAGCTGTTGAGAAAATATTTTAGTTGATCACTAAAAGTATTTTTTTATCTCTAGAAAAATCACAACTATAATAAGTTCTTCATTTTTTATTAATTAAAATCACACATGCTATTTCTTTGAAACAATAATCTATAACTTTCCCTAACAAATCAGATACATTTTTTTAAAAAAGAAACAAACCAATTCATTGTGTCAAATAAAACTATTTGGCTAAGATACATTTATGTAAAATAACGTTACTTATTTTATTAAGAGTTAGCTTCCTCTAAAATATTTTACTATTTAATAAAGTCACATCCTTTATTCTTTTCTTTATGAAAACCATAATTTATTTTTGATTACATTTCTTTCAAATAAAAAATCATTATTATAATTATCGCTATTCAAAGTTAACAATGCTTACTAAAGG